CACACACACACACACACACACACACACACACACACACACACACACACACAAACACACACACACACAAACACACACACACACACACACAAGATTAAAAGAGAAAGAGAGCTCACCTCAGTGAAGGAAAGCAGTTGCTCGCAGGCAACGCAATGATTACCGAAACCGCCACGCCAACTACCGGTAGGCGTGCGGTATTTGCAGCACCGCAGCCACCCACGCACGCCACGCTAGAGTTCCCTCCAACTCTTCATATCAGATCTCTCTCACACTCTTCGTATCAGAGACGAGGGTACAGTACGGGTACTTCCAACCAACTGGCCGCACGCTGCATAGACATGGTGATTCCCCGCCCTCCCCCCCGCACGCTGGGCGCGCACCGCGCACCCCCCTTCCGCAACGAGCCTCTTCAGCCAACCAGCCCACCTAATACAACTTTCTTGAGCCATACACGCACACAGACACACACAGAGACAACACGCCCCACCCCGCCAGACGCAGTCGGGCAGAATCGCTGCAACACCGAAACAGGCACCCAGCCCGCTTGTCCCGGGCAACATCACCCTCATGACAAATCGATTCGAATGAATCTGGACGCAGGGATGGTCAAGTTCATCCACGACACGAAAGTCCTACAGTAAGTATGACCTCGAACGAGTCAAATTTTGACCACAGCTGGATGCTCAGCGATCCGCAGCAGCCGCGTACCATCGCCGTAACGTACATTAGCGCCTCTACCACCAGGTCGCTGGAACCAGAGGCGGGTTCCCACTGCATGTTGCCCCCGAATAGAACGCACGGAAGCTCACAGGGTTTCCTGACGACTCCTGGGCACAACTGGGACCCGGCCGGTCCTCGATTATTGGGAGACACCTTGCAAAGCAGCATGACAATGTTGGTTTTTCTGCCGGGATCTCGGGAATGCAGCCCTAAGGTCTGTGCTTTTTTATGTTTTTCTAAATTTTGCAAACTGAGGAGAGGTTCAAGTAGGCTGATGCGCAACTCTCTCTCTCTCTCTCTCTCTCTCTCTCTAGAGGTATATGATGTACCTGTGCGTTAACTGGTGCGGATGCGCGTGTGTGTGTGTGTGTGTGTGTGTGTGTGTGTGTGTGTGTGTGTGTTTGTGTCTTTCAAAGTAAGGTCTTCCAGATAAGGTTGTTGTGTTTGTATGAGTGACCAGCATAAAACTTGACATTTTTTCCATCCATTTTCCCTTTTTTATTCCTTAAACCTTTTGTTCCTTATTTTTACAAAAAAGGTACTTGAAGTGTTTTCTTGTTGTTGCTTTTATCAAAGAAGTTCATTGCTTTCAACAATTCCCTCCTCCGCCTGCCCGACAATCATTACTCTTGCTTGCATTCTGTTTCCCTTGTTCTCCTTGAATTACTCTTTGAAATTTTCATTGACATATTCTTGTTGCTGAAGGTAAGGAAAGTCGTTTTGCGCACAAAAACAAAGGGTGTTGAAATAATCAACTTGCCATGATGTAATTTTTGTAATCTAATGTTGTTGTTGGTGATTTTTGTATGCTCTGATTTAAATTAAGAATCTCCTATAATTGAATGCTATAATACAACGAATCAATGATAAAGGTATGTATTCCATTTTCCATTTAAAGGACGTACTTCATTTATGCATCTTTCTATGCTTCGTTCCTCATTCTACATGATTCTGGGGGGGGATTTTAAAGTCAATGAATTTGTATGGTCATTCTATTACTGGTTAGACATATGCTCATTGATAGGAATAGTATCATTAGAGAATTTAGTAGTCTATTTTTTTAGAGGTTAAATAAAGATGAAAAAGATTGCGGTAGGTGGAACAGTAAATGTAATATATATATATCGTTTGTTGTCCTCTTCTCTCTCTCTGCCTACGGTTTACCGGGCAGTTCTATTTGTGGCGATATATATATATATATATATATATATATCGTCACAAACAGAACTGTCCGGTAAAACGTATATATATATATATATCGTCAAATATATATATACAGGGTTACCAGCCCGTACGTACGGAGGCCCCCGGGCGGACCTCCGTACGTTCGGGCATTCGTTGTCCCGTACGGGGCCCGAACCCGACGGCGTTTGGCCCCCGCCAAAAATTATTTCGGGGCCTAAATTTTTTTTTTTTTTTCTGAATTTTTTTTATAAGTTCTCTATGACGTGAGGTACATGCCTATAAATTTTCAAGTCATTTAGCTTATCCAAATAAGAATTAAAAATCTCCAAAGATGGCCGTGCCAAAACGTGCTCGCCTACATATTTTTTCACTTTTGACTTTTTGTTTTCACTTTAGTTCGGGGTCTAGACAACTTTATTATTTTTTGAAACTTTTTTAGTGGGTTTTGTGTTATGTGAAGTACACATCTGTAAATTTTCAGGGCATTTAGTTATGCCAAAAAAAAAAAAAAAAATCGCCAAAGATGGCGGTGTCGAAAACATGCTCGTGCACTCACTAAATTTAATTCTCTTTTTATTTTTATTTATTTTTATTTATTTTTATATTAGTATTTATTCTGTGTATTTTATTTTTATTTCAAATTTGGTAAGGAATTCGGACGTAATGCTCAGGCAAATCTTGTTTAATTTATTTTTCTCCATAACATATCTTTTTTTCAGATTTTTTTGATGACCTTTTTTGTTTTTGTTTTTTTCTTTGTCCGTGTTCGGCTCGAACGGCCGAATGCATCCCCAAGGGGTCCCACACGTTCGGGCGTTCGGGTTCGGGCGTTCGGCCCGTCCCGAACGCCGGTTACCCTGACGATATATATATATATATATATTGTGTAATCAGTGAGGGGATTTTGCAGATTGTTGAGGGTTCAGCCTCCTGATGAGTCGGTGAAACTCCGACGAAACAGTTTGTCACAACCCCTCGTTTGTTGTCCTCTTCTCTCTCTCTGCCTACGGTTTACCGGGCAGTTCTGTTCGTGACGATATATAGATAGATAGATAGATATATGTAGACACAGAGAGAGATAGGCAAGAGATAAAATATATTTGTAGAAGTAACTATACAATAATAACACCAATAAAAGTTTATTAGCGATGATTACTCTATCAAACATCCAACTTTCGATAACACTTTAACACTTTCCGCTCCAATTTTTTAACGTTTATGAATCTATGATATTTTGTCAAAGTTAAATAAGAATACAAAAAGTTACTCTTATTTTTTAACTAGTTCATAAGATTGCTTTTGAGACAACAAGTAGGAATTTAACGTTTAGTGGGAGTAAAAAAAAAATGTGAGGTAAATCTAAAGAAAAAATTGCGATAATAAAGCAACATTTAGTGGGAGTTAAAAAAAAAAAAACGAGGGGTAAATCTAAGCAAGAAGTTGTGGTAATAGAGTAGTGATTTTTATAAAGACAATGGAGCGAGAGAGAGAGGGATAGAGAGAGAGGAGAGAGAGAGAGAGAGAGAGAGAGAGAGAGAGAGAGAGAGAGAGANAAAGAGAGAGAGAGAGAGAGAGAGAGAGAGAGAGAGAGAGAGAGAGAGAGAGACAATTTGATGTTTTGTAACTTTTGTTTAAAATATTAAGTTAATATTATTTTTAGATTTTTATAATATTATTTATTGGTAGTTTTATATTTTATTGTTGTTTTGAAGATAAGTTTTTGGCTTAGGTAGATTTATTTTTTATGATATTGAGCTTTGTTGGTTGTTTTTTTTTGTTTTTTTTTTAAGTTTTATCATAGTTATTTTGTTCGATTTGTTGTATTAGTGTGGATTGTTGTTTTAATATTGTTTATGGTAAAATGTTTTATTATTATTATTATTATGTAAAATTTATGATTTTTTATAACTACCTAGTACTACGAGTGCTCATCAAACAACACTAAAAGTTTTGACTATCACGCTAAATTGACTATCTAGACTGTTTGGGATTTTTCCCAAACTGTTTTCTAGATTCTCACTCGTTATGCACTCATTCGCCACTTTGTTTTCAACTCATAAAACAACATTGGACTTTGCATATATTTAGCATATTGTTAGCGTTCATTATGAGTCAGGATTAACCTCTACAAATGATATGATGACATTTATTACTACGTCTCATTTTTGTTATATAAAATATTTTATTTTTTTTTATGTACTTTGCGATCTGCTTTATAGTGTTGTGGATTTTCGTTATCCTTGTTCTGTATATCTCATAAGTTGTTATTAGTTTTTTTTTTTTCCACAGGAGACATGCTATGATATTAGATTTTTGAAGTATAGATAACCTTTTTTATAGATTTTCACCTTTGTTCCATATATGTTGCAAGTCAATTGTTGTCGAAGTTTAAAAAATATAAGGAAGCAACGATCGAAAATCCTATGATGAGTGTGAGCTTCGTAAAAGGTATTTGGTGAATGGTACATATTTGTTTTCTGGTATGGAATATCGATATAAATACATCGAAGACTATGTTTGAACTATAATAGTATTGTCAATAATCAAATATTTGCAAAAATATATTTATTTTAGTTTGTTTGTTTGTATATCTCTCTCCATTTTTCTCCCCGTATCTCATTTTGTTCCCCCCCCCCCCTTTTCTCTCTCTATAAAGAAGAGAGCAGAGAGGGCACGTGAAGGAGGAGGAAAAAATGAAGGAGATGAAAGGTGGTTGAAAAAAAAAAGAAGGAAGGAAGGAAAGGATGAGGGAGGGAACAAAAAAATGATACTTTTAGCATGTACGCATACACAAACCAAGAAATAGTGAATACAAAAATGCATACACACACACAAACTAACCAACCGAATTTGTTGGTGTATCTCACCACTATTGCAATAAAAAATATAAGTATCGTCGGATTCGTCATAGACTCACAACACTCAAACAGTCATTAAATCTTGAAATTTCTCTTCACAACACAAACTTTTGAATTTTACTTATTAGATTGAATTCATGAGCTGTCAGAGTTGTGGTACGTGAGGGTTCTCGAATGTTCATAAAACCTTGCTTTGTAAGCTGACAATTTTTTAACACATCGTACGGAGTACTGAAGTACACCCAAAAACACACGAGGAGAATGTGATCGACAAACTACCTCCTCATGAAATATGTTTGGTAGCATTAGAGAGTAGTATCAAATTACCAACACTCCTTGAAACTACAAGAAGAGTTTGTTGACATTCGTGGTCCACCAATAGGTGTACTTGTGTGAAGGTGAAGTCTGTTGTAACTTTGAGGGAAACAAATAGTTGCGTGCAGGAGGATGCTATG